GGGACCCGAGCCGAGCCGTGGTGCTCAATGCTCAGCAGCCTCACAGGGGCCAGGCTGTGTTGCAGGGTGGGTGCTAGGCAGCACCTCTGCTGCAGCCCTCAGATGTTGAAGCATGAGGCCCCCCAAAGCGCAGGGCCCTGGGGCAATTGCCCCGATTCACCATGCCCTAGGGACGGCCCTGACCACAATGAACATGCTCCCATTCCAAGGGCAGTGGACTGTGGCTGGAGCAGTTTCTGCACCGTAATGAAGCAGACAGCATCTTTCAAAACCTTGGTAACATTCAAGCTGTGCTTTTTTGGGGGCTTGCTTTACTCTGGAACAATGACTTTTTTTGCTGTTCATCTCGACTGGGATCCAATTCACTGTATACATCTTTTTAGTTGCTTCATAAAATTCAAGGTATAGCATTAATATTTCCCATATCCTCATAAGCTGTAGGGCAATAGGCTGCTGGTGGTAAATTTTATCACTCCCTGCCTTTTCTGACTTATTTTATGGACTTCACAGTATGCAAAGACTGAGCCAAATTTTACACTTCTTTCTCAGGCAAAGCTCCCACCAAAAACAACAGAGGTGTAGCTTGACTATGAACCTCAGGTTTTAAACCCGTGTTTTTAATTAAGTGATTAGAAAGATTCACAATGGGGGAATCTTGGGGAATTCAAAATGATGCAATTAGACCAACTTGAAACTAGTCTTATCTGTGACTGTTGCAACACAATACTTTGTGCATTATACATACATTTCCAAAATGCTGAAGTCAGAGGATAGAAGAAACAAAGCCAAACCTTCAGGTTGCTTTGAGCAGCTTCTGCATCTCAGAAAGGCCAAAAAATAGCTAAGTGTTATAACATAAGGTTACCATACATCCAGGTTTTCCTGGACATGTCCTCTTTTTAGATCCTCTGACTTCAGTCTAGGCGGTTTTTAAAAATACGATCAAATGTCTCTCTGGGATTTTGCTCTGCTCTCAGCTTGCTCCAGCAAGGAGCTGCTTGGGGCTGGGGGCAGGGCGATTGGAAGCAGGGCGCACACACAAGTGGCTGGCATGTAGCTTGGCAGGGGGTGGGAGCAGCCCAGCAGCTGGATGCAGGTAAGTCTTTGGAGTGCGGGTCTGTGTGTGCGTGGGTGTCTGCTTGTGTGTGTGGTGGGGCGGCAGGTCTGGGGCTGCAGCAGGGCAGGGGAGGTACATGCCCCAGACACATGCCCCTTTAGTGGGGGAAGGGAGAAGGGAAACGGGGTGGGGAGGAAAAAGGAGGGAGCTGCTGGTTGGTTCAGTGACACTGGGGCCGGTGCCTGTGCTCGCAGGGGCAGGGCTGGGGGGCACTGGCAGGGCTGGAGGGCTGCGGCGTCTGAGAAAGGGGCACTGGGGGGCTGGGAAGGCTTTGGTTTGGGAGTGAAGGACAACAGATAACTCCCCCATGCAACAGGTTTCCTCTTTTTTGGAAGTGGAAATATGGAAACCCTATGTTACAGGAAACCCATGTGCTGCAGAAATCCTCCTCACTTGGAATAGGGAAAGCTGACATAGGTGAAGCAGGAAAGGGAACAGTAAGGAAGTTTCAGCTCTTGAACTTAGTGTCACAATAATTTCTTGCCAGCTGGAGGCAGATCTTTCTTCATTGACATGACACAGATTTTTATTCTTATGCTAGGTGTTACAGATTGCATGTGGTCTGGAAAGAACTGGGATCACCCCCAGCTGTTCCATCACTTCAAGTCTGGTTAATCTCCATCAGCATCACGTTCGCCAACCCTCCCCTCTGGTTCCCCCAACCATTGAAAGCACTGCAGTGAAAGATCAAGATCTGAAAACAGAATTTGCTTTCTCCTCCTGTTCAGAAGAGAATTCAGAGTTTATGTTTGCATGACAGCTTCCATTTGAAGCTCTCATAATGCTTACCAAATAAGCATCACATTAAACCATTCATGATAGTGAAGTACCAGCCTTATCTCGGTTTACGGAGCGGTAAACAGACACACAGAAGTTTAGGACTCTGCCCAGGGTCACACTGACCAGGAGTGGGTGCAGAATCTCAGCTCCAAGTCTCACACTACCTTAGATTTCCAGGTTAATGCAGGGCCCTCTGGGCCTGTCACCCCACATGAAGTAAACCTTGCCTAGTTCAGTAAAGCCCTGCCAGGTCAAGGGCAAACATTCCTGTCTCCGTCACAGATTCACTATTTGACCTTGGCAATCCCGTTAGCGAGTCCTTTCTCCTCCCACAAGCTCCAGCTGACTGTCCAGAAACTTCATGAGGCCTCGGAGAGCTGAAGAAACGTTTAAAGGGATTTCTACAACCTCAACTCTCTTATTTGTAGTTTAAGACAGTTTTGCAGCCAAATCTTGAGCTCTCTGCAGTAGTCAGTCTGAATCCCATGGTAAAGAAAGGCAAGCACTTGTTCATGGAAGGATTATTACTTTGTTAGCATAGGATTTTTGTAGGATGCACTTCCCATCTAGATTTATACTAAGTGGTTAGTATGGGAAGAGTGAAGAACAACCTAAGGAATACAAACACTGTAGGTCAGGGCTACCTAGTCTCTTGGACTATACAGCTCCTTGTTAGGAAGTGCATGTTTCCTAACATGTAAAGCCAGGAATAGCATCAGTTTAGTCAGGAACAAGAAATTGTACGTACTCTGTTCTCTTCAGGTTGTGGGGGAGCAGCATGTAGGGAGGGGAGAACTGGGAAATATGACAGCAGCTTTTAGAGCTTGCTATATAGCATAGCAGGGAGGAAAGTTGTAAGAACAATAGCTGGCCCACAGAATGAAATGTAGATTTGTAAACCCTCAATCATCCAACTGCTCCCATTACCAGTTACTATGAATGATAGTGGATACAAAAAGAAATCCTTAAGGCCAGTAACTACTATGCATCTAGTTACTTGACCTACTGTAGTCAAAAAGAAAATGGAAATAGCTTCCTGGTAATAAGCAAAGGCCTGTGGAGATGCAACTCAGCATCGACCTTTACTGTAATTCAATAGACTGTCAGGCTATCCCAGCTGCTTCTGCAAGGATCCCAAGTCAAACTTCATGTCAGCCTGAACAGCTTTGGAGCACACGAAGGAATGAAGGACTCTAGGGCTGTCCAATGTCAGAGTTCCTGGGGGCTGTGTACCATGTGACCCTTACAGTACCCCTCCTCTGGCCCTGCCATGTGCGTGTGTGGACTCTGTGGGTCCTTGTGTGCTGTCCCACCCTGCCCCTAGGGGCAGGGGCAAGAAATGGAAGCTGGGAGGGAGAGGAAGAGCCCAGACACCCTGGCAGGTCTCTCATCTGCCAGCAGCAGATGCAGTGTGGGGGAATAGTAGCTTTGGAAGAGCCCACAGGCTGCAAGTTAACCCCTTTTGGGTTGCATGTGGCCCATGGGCCATGAGTTGGACAGCCCCGTCCTAGCAGCCAAATGTAGAGAAAAAAAAAAAGTCTTTTGGAATCACTCCCCCAACACGTAAGCAATACAAGTGTCACAATATCTGGCATACTGGCTAAATAGCAAACTCTGCATGGGGGAGCAGATCTTCTAAATTAGATCATTTCTCAAAGGGCTTGGAGATGACAGCAAAGGACATGGCTAAAGCATTATGTGTTGCCTCTAAATACTCTCTAAGAGTGTCTTATGATCCCTTAAATGCTGCAACAACAATCTTGGTGTTGGGTCTCAGTCTGAGGAGTCACACTTGGCGTTGTTTATCACACTTCTTGCTGCTGAAGCTCTGCAGGAATGCAACTTCCCAGAAATGAGAATAACTAGAGACAACACCCTCAGAGAACTAACATTATTAAAAATGGACCTTGATGTCCTGGAAATTAGCCAAAACCAAACCCTAAATCCAAAAATACACCCAGAAACTTTGGGAATGAAGTCTTAGTCCCATTGCAGGCAATGGCAAGACTCCCATTGGCTTAACAGGGCCAAAAAACAATCCATCTGGACATGCTCAAAATAGAAACCCAGATCCAACTTCTCTAAATGACCTGAACTAAAATTCTGGACCCAAACACTATGGGCGCAGACAGAAGTGCAGTTCCCCGCTGTAACTAAGAATGCTTTGCAGGAAACGTTTTGAGTTGCAACCATCCTCCGGACCAAACAGAAGTTCACTGTTGGTTCAAGGGGGAGGGGAATCCAGCTGCTGGCTGAGACCCTGCAGCTGGTTTCCCCTAGCAACAGCCATTCTCTCTCCCAGCCTGTCCCTGTTTCAGAATGGGAGGGGGGAAAGGGAGCAGAGGGAGCTCATTCCAGGGGGTCCCCAGCCAGCACTGGAAACCGCTTTCTGTGGCTTGATCGGGTGAAAATTGTCAGTTCTGTCTGCACCCCAAGGGGCTTCAAAATCTAGTTCCACATTTTGCAGTGCCCGGCTACTTCTGATAGTCATAAAACCCTTGGGCTAGAAAGCGCACACACACAGCAGGTCAGGAATTGTGGGGGTTCACCTCCTGCTCCTACAATTTATCATAGCCCTGAGACAGAGTTGAGTGAAAGGAGAAACAGTTGCTGAAGCTTACAGAAACATGAAACGTGTTATTTGTCAAGGGTATGAAGCAGCAAACTAAAATCACTCCAGTCAATCACTTCAGGATCACCAATAACTGTGGTGCAGAGAACACCTGAACAGAGTGGACCTCTTTTCAGCTTTATGATATTACAGATCACTAAAGCATCTCAGTGGTTCCCAAGGAGCTCACTTTCCAGTTCCCATACACAACAATTTTGTGTAAGAGTCCAACCCCATCCATATGCTGTTTTGTCAGTGTTAGGGGATTAAAAAACAAACAAACATATATGTAATGAATAAGGGTCTACTCAACTCATGATTTTGTGGATTTGTGGAAAATGTGAAATATGTGATTATCTGTGAAATCAACTTAAAAAAAAATTAAAAAACTTAATAAAAGTAAAATGCAGGCTCTCTAGTGGGAGCCAATGATCCTTGCTGCCACTATGGCCCAGCCTTGCAGCCCGCCCAGGAGGCAAGGCACCAGCTGGGGGGGGTGGCATGAAGGGCAGCAGTTGTCTTGCTGAGGACTGCTCTGCCTGGCTCCAGCTACACACCAGACAGCAGCTGCCACCTTGTCCCTCCTCCCTCCGGTGGGGCATTCGCATACTTTAATGGATTGTTTTTATTAAGGTAAGCATGAATTAGTATATCTAGATTTTTTTTGTACAACTTTGTATAATTTACTTCGTTGTATATTGTGTATGAGCACATCCAGGAAATATCTGTGGAATTTACTATTTCTACTGTGACCAACCTGCAAAATTGCAGAGAAACTAAACAATTTAAGTAGATCCCTAGTAATCCTGCTGAGGAAAGCAGCCGTGTGATGATGCGACTATGGGAGAAGCTACAGAGCCCACAGAACATGATCCATAGAAAGGTAGGGTTGAAAGGGACCTTAGGACAAGGGAGGATCATCCCTCACTAAATCATGCCAGCTAAGTGCTTGCCTAACCTGCTCTTAAAGCCTTCTAAATTTGGAGATCCCACAAGGTCTCTAGGTAACCTGTGCCAATGCTTAACCACTCACATAGTGAGAAAGTTCTTCTGCATATCCAACTTAAATAACCCTTGGTACAATTTAAGACCATTGCTTCTTGTCCTGCTCCCTGCAGCCATAAAGAAGAGTCTATCTCCATCTTCTTTATAACCAACCTTCATAGTAGCTTTGTTCCCAAGGTACAAAACCTACTAGTTTTGGTAACCCAAAAACTAGTAGGTTTTGTACCCTGGGAAAGCCCTGCCTGGGGAGGGAGGCAGGCTAGCCCCAAGCAAAACCATGGTGGGTGGGTGTGTGCCAAGCACGCCAGAGCAGAGGAAGAGGGAGGGATCAATCATACCTGCTCCAGGAACTCAAACCACCCATCTGCTGCTGACATGGAGTAGCCGGTTGTCATAGCTGCTGTTATAGCAGTAGTGGAGATATTGCACTCAGCAGTTGCTATGATAGCCATGGCATGGGGTTCCTGCTGCTGCAGCACCATGGATTTCCCACAAAGCTACCATTCTGGTGCCCCCTCCAAGTGGGTGACTTTCCCATCCCAAGTTACACTATTGGCTGACCATGTTGCAAAACAATGCACAAAGTAATTAAAATATATGAATAAAAGAATCCCTTGGCTCCATCTATCCACCCAGGGCTGGCTTTTGCTTTTATATCAAAGATAATAAATGAGGGAAATAAGCTAGACCAAATGTGCCACCACATAGGAGAGTCAGAAAGTCAGCAAGTGTGTGGGGGTGCCTAATAATAGTCTACACATTACAGTTGAAAAGTGTGAATGCAGATCAGAGAGATCTCACAGGTGATGGCAGTTTAGCATGCTGTGACTGGCCACACATTTATGAGTATTTCTTGCATTTTGCCTTTATGCTGCTGCTAGCCCAGACGTGTCAATGTGAGCACCTCATCCTCTTGGATTGCAGTGTAGACATACACTTAGGCAATAAGCAGGTGATTTATGATGCTGTGAAAACGTTTGAATTATCCATGTCATGAATACCACTACTATAGCCACCTTTCATGACAGCTACTCTGTCACTGGGGCTCCTCTTAACTTGTATTTTTCCATCCTCCAGCAACGGCAGCACTCAGAAGACAAAAGGGGACCTGGAACGGGGCTGAAACTGTTCTTGCATTCACATATTCCCACTCAGTCTGCTATCATTTCTTGTGCTGCTAAATCCATTGCATTTGTCCTGGATCTGCCACTGCTTTTTGCTGCGATATTGATACATTTTGTCAACAGACAGGACTTGTATGCAACAGTCTTAATGACAGGGCAAGACAACTGCTTTACCTCCACACACACATACTTGTACAACTGATAGCTTATAACAACTCATGAAGGTGTGAATGGTCACTTTTCCATTGCAAGCATCTTATGTTGCCACAGGCTTTTAAACACTGCAACTATAACTACATATCCAATCTGACAGCTAAGCAACAAACACAGGCCAGTTAGTCCATGAGCCCAGATTAGAAAGTGTCACCAGTTTATATCATCTGATGCTATTGTTTGGGGGAAGGACTTTTTAAGAAATCACTTTGATAGAGTAATCATGGCACTTAGTACTGACTTTCATCTCCCTCATGTGACTCACCTCTGTTTTCTCAAGCTCAGCAGTGATTGCTGCAGTGGTTTAGTTATCTGTATTTATAGCAGGGTGAATGTTAGTAACAACTAGAAATAGAGCTGAGCTGGAAAATTTAGAATCAGATCAGAACTTTCCAAAGTCAGTGGGAGTTCAGGTCCGGGTTTAGATTGTTTGGTATAGAGGAGCTGCCCAAATAAGGACCAATCTGAATGTCGGCCAATTTAAGGATGGGGAAGTTCTAGGGATTCAGAAAGGCAAGATCTAGCTTTGGCCAGATCTAGTAGACTCTGCACAAATAATAAATTGCAGCTGGTTCAAAACAAAACAGGAAAAAAAAATTCACAATTTCTATCCTGTGGAAAATTCCATTCCATTTTCAGCCTAATTTGAGATGAGTAGTTGAAATATTGGAATTTTTCACTGAATGGACATGTTGAAATATTTTGTTTCATTATTTTGATAGAAACTGAATGTTTCTGCACTCTGAAATTGGCAGAGAGAGTTGGAAATTTGACATCTTGTGCAAGGACACCATTTTTTAAAAAAGCACAAAGGAAGTTTCCTGAGGTCAGTGTTAGAGTGGTTTTAAGCAGAGAGCAGATGAATACTGATAAGCCTGATGCACAGAGTGGTCAAACACATGACCTACAGATATTGCAGTGAGAAACCCACTCATCGCAGAGGACTTGCACATGGCCCTTTATGTCACTAGCAGATCTGTTAAACCCTTAGTCTTGGTCAGAAGCAGGAAGCCACACAACACCATGGCCAATTTTTGTCTAGAATAGGCAACAATTTATTGCCCAGCTATAATTCCCATTCCAGTTTGTGAGTAGTATGTCATATTTAAGTACCTGCCTGGCAAATTCAGCCTCAGCTCTTGGAGTGAAACTGTTTTCTTCCCTTCTGCACATCAGTACCTTGCTCTGCAGGGCAGGTTATAACTGCATCAGCCTGGATATGCCTGCAGAGTTCGCAGAGGCACCAGTGTATGGCATTCAGTTATTGGTTCTGCTGATGATTCAAGTAGCAGAAGGCAGCCTGCTCTGTTAGCTACGCTTGTTGGCTTTGCGGTGCTAATGCTCATTTGTCACTAGAGATACACAGCTGACTTCGGGTAGGAAGGTGCCCCTTTTTACAGTCACTTTTCAGAGTGGACCTGCACCCAGGTAGAATAACTGGATAAAACTGCTCATATAGAAATATTATTATAATTAAATTCACCCTACCGGTACAAGCAAAGTACTACTGTAGTAGTAAAATTAAGTACCACCTTAGTGGGCTAAGTTTTAGTTTCTTTATAATAGAAATGCAACACTGCCACCCTGTGGTAATTTGAGGCAGGGCTTTTTGCTGTCTTAACCCTCTGCAATTCCCTTATGGGGCTTACAATTAATTCCCTTGTTTCCTTTTTCTCAGCTCTCTGTACTACTTTGTGTTCCATCACATGGGCATTAAAAAACTTGACATGCCTGTATTAAAAGGGAAGAAAAGGACACCTAGACAAGTTAAGAACAGCATTATTATATGATGCCAACAGGGTGCCCATCACTGCATATTAGATCTCCACCAGTTTCTGAAGACCATTATTATTTCTGATTACACTGGTCTTCCTTTCTATAGTCTTGTGATACAACAACATTGATATCAGAGAATGCAAATGCATGTTTTAGATGAAAACCATGTTATGTAGCAAAGTTTGGTCTTTTGGGCTCAAGAGCTCTCTTCTATGCTCTGATGAAAAAAAATGTCAGTATTCATAGGGGGAAAAAAACCAGGCCTGGTTTTGATTGCTGCAAAATGTGTCAGAGAAATTGGCCACAACACCCAGAACCTGTCAATTTAATAACTTAAATTTTTGCATACTTCTATTTGCATGCAATTTTAACTGTTGAAAAGTGCGTGTATTGAGCAACTGGAGAAATATCATCTTAATTCCTTTGAGAATTTCACCATTTTTTAGTTAAAACTGCTAAAATTATGATTATTTTTCTCTAACTGGTTAAAATAACTTGCCTTTTTCCAGCATAATTTAAATATTTTAAGTGTACAGATGTCCAGATGAACTGTATCAGTTTATATCCTTGCCATTTTTCTAGAAGAAGTGCTTAAGTTTTTGTTGCCAAGTCTCAAGCACTTTGCCTCAGTGATATTTGGCTACTTATCATTTAACACCACTATCAGTTGCAAATACCATCTCTTTTTGCATTGTCTTTCATTCCCAGCAGTAGGAACAATAATTAATTCATTTTTAAATTTACAATATTGAAATCTTTTACAAAGACACTGGGCACATTTTCTCAAATTCCTTGTAGTTATTCTTAGCTTTACTTCTGGCAGCATAACACCCTTCTGTTTATTATCAGACTGCCCATCACAACTAAAATAATCCATTGATTCATAATGGTGTGACATACTAGCTCTAAGCAATATAAATAGTCCAGTGCTGCTACTTCTCACCCACACTTTTCTTACTTTCACATTTGAAAGGTATTGAAACTTTAAGCCAGTTTGGGAAATGCATCAGTTCCCCTAATACAATTCAGACGCTTTTGTTACAAACAATTTTTGTTACACACAAGGAATTAGTCAATCATATTTAGAAGCTGGGTGGAGTGTATTAAAGTGATTAGTTTGATTTCAGGGAGATTATTCACATGATTAAGGATTCCTGGATGAATTACGATTTACAGGATCAGCCTCCAAAGATATTAGCCATATATAGAACTGAAAGCTGCACCCACTACACATGACTAATCCTGGCTCACCTTTAGCCTGGATTCTACCAGCTATTGTTCACATGCTGCATTGTCTTTTTGGGCTTGTCTACGCTTGACCTTTGGTTTGGATGGATTTAAACTGCTTTGCATTAAAATTGCCTATGTCCACAAGCATAGTTTCATTGCGAATCATCTGGTGTTTGAACATGCGTTATTCACTTGACTGAAGAAGGGGGTTTTCTGAGATGTGCAACACATTTACTAATAACAAAAAGAGTTGCTGATGTAACACCATCCTGAAGCAGCTCCTGA